CAGTTTGGTTTTCTCTGTTAGAATAGTAAATGCTATTTTAAATTGTTTTATTAATGTCATCACCATGGTAATTATCAAGGTTGAGTACTGTTGGAGCTTTTGTTGGTGTTTATTACCTATATAACTCATATTTGTGGGCTATAGCCTGTAAACTGGGAAGACAGTTACAAACTTATGTAAAACATGATGTGTCATATGGCCTCTTACAGATTTATTTCATATGTAAAAACTGCTCTAACTAGTGCCACATTCTTCAGTAGAAATATAATGTGAGCCACATATATAATTTTGAATTTCTAATGGCCTCATAAAAAAAGAAAAGGAAACATATTAATTTTGATAATGTTTTATTTAATACCCAAAATATTATTTCAACATACAATATGAAAATTATTAAAGTGTTTTACCTCCGTCTTTTTAAGACTAAGTTTTTGAAATTTAGTGTGTATTTATAGCACATTTCAATTTGGACTAGCCCCATTTAAAGGTTTAGTAGCCACTTGTTGCTATTGGCTCCTGCATGGGACAGTACAAATAGTATGTTAGCTAACGAAGAATATTTTCTTTTAAGCTAGCAGCAGATTAAGAATGCCTGTAAACAACACCAATTATTTTCTCAAGTTAAGTGTGGCATGTCCTACCTTAATCTCAAGCTACATTTAGTTTCAGTAAGTCAGCTACTTTCCAGATGCTTCGGATTCTTCAAACCTGAGGAATATAGGAATCGGAGAAATTAGACATAGTAGAAGGCATACATAGATTTCTTCAGCATTACAGACCTCAATGTTTTTACTGTCTCATAGTTTATCATGAAGGTTGGTAAATGTGGACTTTTTGAAGGAGAAAAAACACTTTGGTATGTGAAGCATATATTCCAAGCCTCAGGCTATATGTGGTATAATCACTCTCATATTTGAGCCACCAAGAAGCACCTTCCAGGGGTTTTAGCACATCCCTTACTTCATCAGATGTGCTAAATGTGATATGTGAGGTCTGTTGCATTTTATACTTTCTAAAGTATACTTTTTAAAGTCTAATATGACATTTTATTGGCTCACTCATTTTCAAGGAAGCTAATGGTAACTGTCACTTCTTCAACTCAAAGTGTGACATTGACAGATTAGAGATTTTTCTTTTTGAGATATATCTTCAGAATCTATGGAAGAACTTGTGATAATATTGTCCCTTTAAAAAAATGTTCTTATTTAGAATATCCCATGGTTATCAGGAGTTGAAAGGAATATCTCATCGTAATTCTGACCCACTTCTATAAAATATTGCTATGAAGAAATTCATAGGACTTTTGAATAAAAAGCTGAAGAGCACAACGACATATAATCCATACATGTTTTGTTCTCTTTAACTTTTTTTTTTACCATGAGCACTGCCTAATGATGTATCTGCCCTGTCTTCTTTTCTCTTTTCACAGTAAACAGTTAACTAACATATTTAGAGTATCGGTTATCTAAACGATGACAGTTGTAACTATTTCCAGACGGTCTTTATATCCTCTTGTGCAAGATGCTCTTTTAGCATATTTTTCAATTTGCTTTTGCTTTTATATCAGAACAGCATACATTTTATATTATTTGCACAATGAAGTAATACATGTCTTAGAATAATAGTCGCTTCTCTCTTGTCTAACTCTGATTCCTCTTCTTCTGAGATTACTGCTTTCACCTCTTTTGGTTGTTTCTACTGCTGTTTATTTTTATCTTTCCAAATGACATTTTTATAATATTGTTCTGTTATTTTTCTTATTTGGGCATCATCTGTTGACTTCTTATAGATGATGAGGAATTAGTGTTTTTACACAAACCAACACACACACTTCCTTTCTGTCCTCCCAATGTAATTATATCTAAGTCTACATTATTAAATCTGAGGCACATAGTATATTATGATTTACATTTTGGTTTTTCCTGGTGTGCCTTAGTTTTCCTTTTTGTTTTTCCTTTCTTGGGTATCACCAAATTTCTGTCTATACCTGTGAAATTCCTCCCAACATCATTACAACTATAAAATACATCACCCCTTACTGATCGCCTTCAGATAATCTATACATCTGCTTTTTTTCTTGGAAACATTAATTTCTTTTCTCTACTGTAATCTGTACATAGTTTCTAAGTTTCCTGTCATCCTTGTGGTTCCCTTCACCATTCACCTATGGTAGAGCTCTTTTTATCTGGATTCCACACCCTGCTTTCCAGGTTTACCTCTTCATTTTAGTAGAGTATACCCTAGGGGCCTCCTGAGAGTCTTTGAGCGGGGTACTTTTCTATTAGGGATTTTGCATTCGGCTCTCATATTTGATTAGTAGTATATATACAGAATTCTAGATTGGTAATCATTTTTTTCCCTCAGAGTTTTGAAAGCATTATTCAAATTGTCTTTTAGTTTCCTGTGTTGCCGTTAAAAACTCCAGTGTCTTCTGATATTTTGATCCTACAAGTGATCATTTTTGGCCTTTCTAAAAGTTTTCAAGATTTTTCTTTCCTCTAGAGTTCTAAACTTTTTTTCAAAAAGCATTCATATTATCATCCAAGCACCAAATGATGGATTTAATAACTTTTTGCAAGAGCAAGGACAAGAAAGAATGATTAGAAATATTACATAGCAGTGCTGTTGATACTCGCGTATTTGTAGGACTCAAAGGGTTTACTCTATTTCTTACACTGGCTCAATATTTCATTAAATTAATTAGGAGATTCAAGCTGTGGTTCAACACAAGAGAAACTTCCTTGGTTTATTTTAGCAGATCTCTCAAGATTCCAAAACTAAAACTGGTGCCAGATTTTACTCACTAGATAGATTAAGTAATTTGGGACTTCGTTAATGAAGGTGAAAGGGGTATTTGCTATCTTCGTTCTCTTGTATTATAGTATCCAAGTTTGATACACTTGTCTTAGAGCAAATGATTCCATACTTAGCTTTACTTTGAAATGTTATGCAACTTATCACATGAATATTACTTATCCGTCGTTTCCTTTTATTTGTAGTTTCACTTGCCTTTTGTTTTGTATCCTTATTATTGAGAAAGATTTTGAACCAGGCTTTGCTATTAAGTCCAGAAATCTTTTTTTAAATAAATGGCCATGAACAGTGAGCTTGTGTGATAGACTCTAGTTTCACTGCTGGTTTCAAGTAAAGTTATGAAATAAGTTTTGTAATGAAATACTATGAAAACCTGATTCCTACATTGTGACAAATTACTAATCATTTTCTCCCTGAACTTTTTTTATTGATACAGCCACAAAGCTTTTTTTTATTCCACACAGATGTACAAGTAAAATTGTTTACTTGAAATAGATTCCTGGGAAGTTATTTGGAATTAACTAGTTGTTTCAGCCTCAATTAGATAATAGAAGCCTGTCAGGAGACTTCCAAAAAACGGTTTAAGAATGGGATATGATAGACTGCACAAAGACGTAATACTGAGTTTTCCCCAAGTTGCTAATGAGAAACATTATCAACTTTGTGGGTTGATAATTTACTTCATAATCCTTCATACTCCATAATCCTTCTTTTATGTTTAGTTTTCTTTGATTCTGAAGAAACCACCGTAGCCTTTGTTTTGACTGGCATCATTCCTTGTCTCTCTGCGTGGCATCCCTTTAAAAACCTCCACTATACTCTGCTGTTCATGGCAGGTCAACAGAGGGAACAAAGATTTCAACAAAGAACATTTTTTTTATATAGCTAAATTGCCCTGCATAAAACAGAACCTACTCATGGGAATAGATCACAGTATTTTATAACATCTCTGATAAGAATGAAAACTTGTCTCTTAAGATGAACATAACATACATCGTCAAACTGTGAATATTTTTTTCCAAATCTAATTTTTTAAAATTTAGAAAAATGAGAGAGCAAACGGTTTATCAACTGTTTATTAGAAAGAATGTTAAATAATAGATTCTGTACTTCCAGAATGAGGAGAAAAATCTGACTTATCTTTGACAGATTGCAAGTTCTAGAGTTTTGAAGGCAAAGTTGTCAAAAAGGACTTACCAAAGTAGACTGCAGTATAACTGAGTTTCTTAGATAAAAGAAAAAATTCTTTGATATCTTTTCCTGATAAGAGTATTCTGAAAATTGGAGAATGTTTTAGCAAATCTTGTTCTTTTGTTTTATATATTTTTAAAAGGAAACACTTTATTCTTAATCCTTTAGTTTCATAAGTTAAAGAAGGAAGTGATTATAATAATCTGATGAATCCAGTTCTCCATCCTTCTTGAACTCTTCTTCATTTAATCTTCTTAAGATCTCTCCTATCTTACATGAACTCAAAGTTCCATAGGATTTTGTTTGACTTTCTAATAGGTCAACTTTCACCTCCTCAGAAGCTGTGTTTTAAACTTGTGTAGAACATGAGGGCTGGGAATTGCTTGATTGGCTAATAAAATTGTTCCTTCTTAGTCACTTATATCCAGTTGTCATTTTTGGTTTTCTCATATGAGATTATGAGAAAACTACACATTCTTGAAATGTTAGGAAGTATCACTTGCTTTTTAACATCTTTTAAGAAATTGCCAAGAATTGTCTATGAAGAATATAATCTGAAAGATCATGCTGTTTACAGAACTTTTTTCATCTAGGCTTAACTGCAGGGAAAGAGAATGTTTTGATATTCAGTCTAATTACTGTTTCATCAAAGCTGGCTTTACGCTTAGAGAGTAGTTCAAAAACAACTTTGTGCTTTTAAAAATCAAGCCCTTGCTGCCTCTGCTCTCTACTACAGTTTTATTCTCTCTATTACAGAGAGCAAATTCCTCACATTTACCTTGCTTAATAACTTGACTCTTTGCTCTTAACAATATACTTCTTCAGCCTTCTTTACTTTCCTTGCTTTATTATTTCCTCTGTGACGATACCTTGCTGACATGGATTTGCTTCTGATGGGAAGAACATTTGATAAGCAAATAGCCCTTTCTTAATAAATAGGCTCTCCCTGGGTCAACTAATTAATCTACTTCACCTAGTCTTCCATCATTTTCTAGGACAGTCTCCGTAAGAAGGATGACAGGATTGAAGAGCTGGAAGAAGCACTAAGAGAAAGTGTACAGATAACTGCAGAGCGGGAAATGGTGCTAGCACAAGAGGAATCAGCCAGGACCAATGCTGAAAAACAGGTCTGCTATTTTATACAGTTCCTAGCAATGCTGCTGGTTAACCAAAAGGTAAAACACAACCAGTATAGTTTAGGTAAACTATACATATTTTATGTTTATAGAGTTTCAGAATCACTTCATAGAGTATAAGTCCCAAAGAGTTGATTCATAGCTGTGTTAGATACAAGTCTGCGGTTTCTTTCGTGTGAAGTATAGAAAGAAAGAAAGACCAACTTTATTAGCAAAGCTGAGAGAGAATTTATTTCACGGAATGAGTGCCTTTCAATGCCCTGTTCCTAGATAAATGCCTTGTGTACTCTTTCTTAAATAAGAATTGAAATAAAGTCATATGAGAATTGACTCATGTAACACAGAGGTCTCTGCATTAATAACTTAGGTCTGATCCCATATATATTTATGTAGTGTGTGCTAATGTATTGGATGAGATGAAATGGAGTTTGTCTGCTACAAGACTGGGCACAATCCTGGCTTTTAAACTGAATGAAAAAACACAAACATTTCTGACTGAAAATGTTTATTTTAAATAGCTAATAGTTTATTCATTTCATACCCTGCCTCATTCAAGAGAACACTTAAGGTTGTAACAAGTTAAGGTTAATAGTGAGTATGAAGGACACAGAAACCATGCACTTGAGTCCCAGATAAACATGTCTCAGCCTTGGAGGGACTTGCTGAAGAGCTCTGCTGTGGCAGTTTGTGGTGCTTGGTTTATATATTTACTGTATCTTTTAAGATCCCCCATACTCTTGCTTTTGACTTTTCATTAGAAAGAATAATTATAGATGGCAAGTGTGAATGGAAGAAATAGTTTTAACAAGTGAAGGTTATAATCCCAGTTTCCATTATGAGCATGTGATTTAAGATTTTGAATCTATCTGACACAGAGGTTCATAACACTTAATTTTGCAGTAAATATTTCCTTTCCATTTCTTTGTGGGAAAAATATAAATGTCAAACAGGAAAAAAATGCTCAATGAAAAGGTAACAGGAATCTTTCGAGGAACCCCCTTGGTGTTATTGTGAGTTAAGGTAGCTATATTAAAGAAGCATATGTCTCTGAGGCAGGCATAGCATATGTCCCAGGGAGTCCCTTCATAACTGTGTAAGATACAAGGATATGGCTTCTTTTCTGTCAAGTATAGAAAGAAAGATGAACTTTATTAGCAAAACTGAGAGAGAATTTAACTTTTTACAGAATGAGTGCCTTTCAGTGCCCTGTTCCTAGATAAATGCCTTGTCTACTCTTTCTTCAAATATGTTTGTAATGCAGTCACATAGAGCTTGGGTAGTGGAGAGCTTCAGAGGAGGGATGGCGATAGCCATTGTGTCACCCAAGTGTGGGGAAGAATTTTCTTTAATCTTGATTTTACCCTTTTTACATTCTCTCCTTTATTTTTCAAATAAAGAATTTCTTCTGCTTTCGCCTCATTATTTATTGACAAGTATTAAAAATCAGAGATCATGCAGAGAGTTTGGCAGTTTAATAATACATTATGCCATTATGGGATATAGACTTGTTATGTATTTTCCTTTTGGAGGCTATTGTGTGAACTGATTATAATATGCTTTGGGGTATGTTTTATTTATGGTTAATAGACTTTGCAGTTTTTAGGTTTATAGAAAAATTGAGCAGAAAGTACAAAGTGCTTTCATTTACTCCTTTTCTACCTCAGTTTTCCCTATTTTTAACATACTGCATTAGTGTAGTATTTGTTAAAGTTAATGAATCAGTTTTAATGCATTATTATTAACTGTGTGGTCCATAGTTTACATTAGGGTTCACTTTTTGTGATGCACAATCATGAGTTTTGCCAAATGTATAATTACATGTATGTGCCATTACAGTGTCATACAGAGTAGTTTCACTGCCCTAAAAGTCTCATGCCCCACTGATTATTCCTCTCCCATCTTCCCAATCCCTGATCTTTTTACTGCGTCTGTAGTTTTGCCTTTTTCTTTATTGATACTTGGAGGCAAATAGTATGTAGCATGTTCAGATTGGCTTCTTTCACTTCACGTCTGCATTTTTGTGGCTAGATAGCTAATTTCTCTTTATCTCTGAATAGTATTCTAGTCTACGGATGTGCCAGTTTGTTCATTCCTTCAGCTATTGAAGGACATCTTGGTACCATTCAGTTTTTGGCACTTAGGAATAAGGCTGCTGTTAACATTCACATGCAGACTTTTGTGTGGATATAAATTTTCTGCTTATTTGGATAAATAACTGTTTGTGTGATTGCTGGATTCTGTGGTACGATCATTTGGTAAGTGTTTTGGAAGAAACTGCCAAACTGTCTTCCAAAGTGGCTGTGTATATTTTGCTTTTAATTGTGTGCTTTTTGCCTTTTCGGTTTTCTCATTTTCCACCATTCTGCTACTCATGGCCTATCTGAAGCTGTTGCATGAAATATTGCATGAGACCAGTTATTTGAACTTTAAGTGGTTTGAGGTATGAAGAAAGTGCTTTTATGTTTATTCTTCTGAAGGCTTACAACCTTTATCTACTGTCTTCTTCTCTCCCATTTTTTATTCTTATTTTTAATCTTTTTGTGTCTTCTTTTTTTTTTTTGAGACAAAGTCTCACTCTCTCGCCCACACTGGAGTGCAATGGCACGATCTCAGCTCACTGCAACCTCTGCCTCCAAGGTTCAAACCATTCTCCTGCCTCAGCCTCCCAAGTAGCTGGGACTATAGGCATGTGCCACCACGCCCAGCTAATTTTCGTATTTTTAGTAGAGACAGGGTTTCAGCATGTTAGCCAGGCTGGTCTCGAACTCCTGACCTCAAGTGATCTGCTTGCCTCAGCCTCCCAAAGTGCTGGGATTACAGGCATGAGCCACCATGCCCGGCCCATCTTTTCCTGTCTTTTAGGTCCACTATTTTATTTTTATTTTTATTTGGAGACAGTCTTGCTTTGTCTCCAGGCTGGAGTGCAGTGACGCGATCTTGGCTCACTGCAACCTCCGCCTCCCAGATTTAAGCAATTCTTCTGCCTCAGTCTCCTGAATTGCTGGGATTACAGGCGTCTGCCACGACGGCCAGCTAATTTTTGTTTTTTAGTAGAGACAGGGTTTCACCATGTTGGCCAGGATGGTCTCAGTCTCCTGACTTCATGATCCACCTGCCTCAGCCTCCCAAAGTGCTGGGATTACAGGTGTAAACCACCACACCCAGCCTAGCTCCACTATTAATTTTACTTATGTATTTTAATTTTATGTACTGAGATATTCTACAGATGTTCTTTTGAAATGCCTTAAATGAAGCTTTTTTGTTTAGGAACATTATTCTTACTATCTTTCTCAGATCAACAAGTTTTCTGTTTCTCACTTAAATTTAGCTTCTGGGAAAGAATGACTCCCTCTGATAAAGGTAGGATATCTGTATCTCTGAATTCATCAAAGAACAAAGTAAAATTGTATGGGAGCCATAGTTCTTATTAAAATAAGACGTAGAACTGGATGTGGTGGCTCACGCTTGTAATCCCAGCACTTTGGAGGGCTGAGGCTGGCAGATCGCAAGGTCAGGAGTTCGAGACCAGCCTGCCCAATGTGGTGAAACCCCATTTCTACTAAAAAATGCAAAAATTAGCCAGGCATGGTGGCACACGACTGTAGTCCCAGCTATTCGGAAGCTGAGGCAGGAGAATCGCTTCAACCTGGGAGGCGGAGGTTGCAGTGACCAAGATCGTGCCACTGCGTTCCAGCCCTGGTGACAAAGTAAGATTCTGTCTCAAAAGAAAAAAAAAGATGTAGAACCTTCCAAAGTTTGAGGAAGGAAGAACTCCCATAAGAAAATATCTCCTGATGCCTTTTCTTTTTTTAAGACAGTGGCGCAATCTCGGCTCACTGCAATCTCTGCCTCGTGGGTTCAGGCAATTCTGCCTCAGCCACCTGAGTAGCTGGGACTACAGGCACATGCCACCACACCCAGCTAATTTGTGTATTTTTTTAGTAGAGACAGGGTTTCACCATGTTGGTCAGGATGGTCTCAATCTCTTGACCTCTTGATCCGCTCACCTCAGCCTCCCAAAGTGCTGGGATTACAGGCGTGAGCCACCGCGCCCGGCTGCCTTTTCTTTATTCTCACAGGATCTCCTTACAGTTTATTTATTCTTGATACATGCTGCCCCACGCTGAGCCCATGCTAGAAATTTAGAGAAGTTATGTAATGTCCTAATGAAGGAAGGTTCCCCTAAATTGTGTGAACAAATTGAGAGTTGGAAGTGAATGATCCCCATGGGGAGAACCCAATGGCTCCTTTACTTTTGGTTTGTCCCTTTCCACATGGGGATTCTTTTTCTGGAACCTTCTCTGTTTAACTTTTGGTAGGTTTTGTATTTTATTGAATGTGAGTGTCTGTTTTCTTAAACTGAGCATAAACAACATCTCCTAAATAAGTCTCAGAATTGCCAGGGGCTAAGGAACAGCATGCTTAGTTCTGCTGTGCTATTATGAACTTTAAATTTTTGAATTTTCTTTTAACACTTTAAAAGAATGATTTAGATATCTTCACTGGGGCTGGGCAGAGTTGGCTAACACCTATAATTCCAGCACTTTGGGAAGCAGAAATTGGAGGATCACTTGAAGCCAAGAGTTCAAGACCAGCCTGAACAGCAATGCAAAGCCTTGTCCCCCCCAAAAATTTTTTTTCAATTAGCCAGGCTTGATGGGGTATGCCTGTATTCCCAGCCACTTGAGGGTCTGAGGTGAGAGGATCACCTGAGCCCAGGAGTTTGAGGCTGCAGTGAGCTATGATTGTACCACCGCATCCCAGCCTGGGCAACAGAGTGAGACCCTGTCTTTAAAAATAATAACAACAACAACATTTGCATATATGAATTAAATTTTTCTATTAAAAGCCCATTTTTAAGAGTGATACTTAGTGATAAACAGTCATTTTTTTTCAGATTGCCATTTTAACATTATATGACTTATATGTTAAGTATAAATTCTTGAGGTTCAAGGTCATAGGATTATATCTGTATAATGGTTTGCTAGGTA